GAGTGGAAGGGGTTGAAATAAACTACCCCTATCATTCTTGTTAAGGAAATTTAAAGAAAAATCTTATCAAACACATGCAAATGCTTTAATTTGGATAGTTTAGTTTGTTTAGAAACTTTTTTTACCTCTTGTGTTTTTTGATAAAACTCACCGATTGGAAATTAAAAATAAAATGTAAAGCATTACATGTGAGGAAAAAACATTTTTAGATTAAGAATCTAGTGATAATAACGATAATAATAATCATCTAGATAATAACGTATTGCAGTAGAGTAATGTCAAATAAAATAATATTAGGAACATCTTAAAAAGTAACAGCGGCCGACTAGATTTTTTCCTAAAAAATTACAGCAGCCCACTAGATTCTTTATAAGAAAATGTTATTTGTCCTGACATGTAATGCTTTACATTTTATTTTTTAATTTCAAATCGGTGAGTTTTATCAAAAAATAGAAGAGATAAAAAAGTTTCTAAACAAACTAAACTATCCAAATTAATTTTTTTGCATGTGTTTGATAAGATTTTTCTTTAAATTTCGTTAACAAGAATGATAGGGGTAGTTTATTTCAACCCCTTCCACTCATTTTAAAAAAGTGAAAAAATTACCAGAAAGAGTGTTTTCATAACAGTAATGCTTCCATAAAATTTTATTAGTCTATCTCTTTTCGTTTTCAAGATAAAAAATAAAAACATTATTTTTCCGCCATCTTTGTACCGCGATATCTCCCTAATGGTTGACTTTTGACCCAACGTTTATGAAGCAAACTACCCTTTATTTTGAACAAGGAATCACCCCCTAAAGTTTTTCGCATTTGTTTTGAAACACCCTGTATATACAGTTAATCGAGGGGTTGTTTTTTTACCTTAACTTTAAAACACCCTGTGCAATAAGTTCCTATGTAAATTTTCATAAAATATAATTTTACGGCCAGAACCATGTGTCCTGAGCATTTGTTTTTTGAATCTTGTCAATACATGATTTGGTTAATTTTTAAGAGCGAAATGAACTTGCCACCAACAATTTTCAATTTGTTCAAATATAATTTCTTTTTGAAGGTATTTTTCAATATGACAAGGCGGTTTTGGTGATTATTGTGAACTATAATAATAATAAACAACGCTTTATTGTACAAAAAGCCAAAATAGCTTCATCGACAAAGCATTTACAAAACAAACAAAAGCACAAAAACAAATATACAAATAATAAAAAATGTCATACAATTAAAAAAAATTACGTCATTAAAATTACAAATATGTATACATGGATATCCATATACATGGACATTGTAGAACACAGGCGTATCAAGAAAATTTTACAAAAGGAAAATTGTAAATGGATAAAATCATGTAAGAGTTATAAAATATTAAATATTAAATAGGTACTAGACCTTTAACCAGTGTGTGAGATGATCAAAATTTTAAAATTTAAAATTGTTCATAATTAAACATCAACAAAAAAGTTGTTTACCGCATATAGGGTTCTCTCCAGTAAGTATGATTTGAGAGCTTTGCGAAATGCGGGAAAGAATGAAAGTGACTTGATATTCAAAAGCAAATGATTGTACATTTTTTTGGCATTGTACAGTATTGAGCCCTTAACTAGTTCTGAGCTCGGGGTTGGAAAACCGAACCAAACCAAACCAAACTATATACTACTATAACTGCCCACTATGTTTGGCATTTGGGAAATGCTTAGCAAGAGGTTTAGAGGTCCCGAAGCGGTACCAACTTCATTAAATGAACTTCGCTTGGTTCTTAGAGAAGAATGGGAAAGCATAACGCAATATGATATATGCAGCCTCAATGACAGTATGAACGGATGTGCACAGGCAGTTATAAAAGCCAAGGGAGGCAATACAAAGTATTAGGATATTTTTTACAATTTTTTTCTATTTGTATACTTGAGTATTACAGATGTTTTCTTTAATATCGTTAGTTCTGTTATCGTTTTGAATGTTTATTAAAACCAGAACTGTATCGTTAGTATATAACGTTTTTTTTTTAAATGTAGTATAGAATATGCAATGCAGCGCAATATGGCGTTACGACAATAGTCACCAAAGCCATCTCGCCATCTTAAAAAATTACATAAAAAAGTAATGATAATTGCAAAATTTGAAAACTGATCGTGATCAATTCATTTCGCTCTTAAAAATTAGCTAAAGCATGTATTGACATAAATCAAAACACAAAATGCTCAGGAGTCATGGTTCTGATCGTAAAATTATATTTTAAGAAAACTTACACACGAAATTATTGCACAGGGTGTTTTAAAGGTAGGGTAAAAAACAACCCCTCGATTAACCCTGTATACAATGCCAAATACTAAAGTTTATAAAAAACTTAGTTTACGAATTTAAGTTGATATAATTATATACAGTTCGCTAAAAATTCATGAAAATAGGGCTCAAAATAACAAAAATATAACACTTTAAAATTGACTAAAAATTTCTCCATTGCGTTTTTTTTGCATCTCAGTAATTTAAATATAATAAATTATCGTAGATATTAAACAATATTATCAAATAATTTTGTTATAGTGTTAAATCTGGTTTGTTTTCACTTCTTTAATTACTGTTAACGCATTATAAAAACTTATTTAGTTATATTTTATGGAAAGGATAAAACATCTATTATACAGGGTCCGGCAATAGTTCGTCGGGCATCTGTAGACTGTAGCTCCTAATCAAAAAACTTATTATCATTAAGCAATATTGTTTAAGTGCAAACCTAAAGTATGTATTATTAGGATGTATTTCAGGAAAATAACTTAACCTCTACAGGGTTTGAGTCGCCTTTGAAATTGTGAGTGGATCAGGATGATTTATTTTAAATGGAACACCCTGTATATTATTACATTTTTGGCTTCCTTTCTGATCACTGTACATAATCTTAAGATATTTTTAAATAAGTTTTGATATTCAGAGATATTAATAAGTAAATTAAAAAAAATATTTTTTCACACCTTTTTAAAAAAATTGTTAAAAATACAAGAACTGTCCTGAAATTAGAATTATATTAGGTGTTTACATCAGATGGTCTGTACTTACTTTGCTATAAATATCGTAAGCTTAAATCATACAGGGTGTTCAAAATTCTACGCCAGACTTTCTTAAATTTATAAAATAATTTTTCTTCGTTATTTTAAATGGAACACCCTGTCTATTATTTTTTAGTAAATGGAGAATTAAAAAATGAACATTTTTTGTGTTTCAAGTAGAGAGAGTATTTCAAATATTTCAGCGGCTTGCATATACTCGCGGTATTATTTCATATGGATCTTGCAACGGTAAAATACGAGAGAAAAATCATTGGGCGGCTTTGATAAAAGTTTACTATGGAAAATGCTATAAGAAATATAAAACCGCGAATATCTGCAAAACCGTTAAAAATTTTGAAATGCTCTAAATACAAAAAATTGTTTACATTTTTAATTCTCTATTTACTAAAAAATAATATACAGGGTGTTTCATTTAAAAAAACGATGAAAATTTATTTTATATTTTAGAAAGTTTGGCGTGGAATTTTGAACATCCTGTATGATTTAAGATTACGATATTTATAGCAAAGTAAGTACAGACCATCTAATGTAAATACATAATATAGTTTTAATTGCAGGACAGTTCTGGTATATTTAATAATTTTTTTAAGAAAAGTTAATTTTTTTTATATATTTATTAATATCTCTGAAACTATCGAAATATATTTATTCATGTCTTAGGATTATATGTAAAGTGATCTGAAAGGGAGCCAAAAATGCCATAATATACAGGGTGTTCCATTTAAAAAAAAATATTCCGATCCACTCACACTTTTTTGAACCACCCTGTTAAATAAATATTTTCAAAAATAAAAGTTAAAATATTTTCCTCAAATACATCCTAGTACATACTTTAGGTTAGCACTTAAACAAAATTTCCAAGTTTTTTATTGTAGGAGCTACAGATGCCCGACGCACTATTCCCGGACAGTATATGAGTTATAACTCAACAAAGGGGGATACAATTGATATATGTATAAGGCCAGGGTGATTAACTCCTCCCCTCACTTAAAATCTACATCTACAACTACATGGTGGAGGTACTTAACAGGGTGCAAAGTTTCTCCTTTTATGTTACTCTGCCGCGCTTGAGTAAATCTATAGATATACAGTGCTTTTATTTCAACTGTGAGCATAGGCGTTAACCATTATAATTTGTAAATGAGTACCATAACCAATCTTTCATCATCGTTGGATTACTTATTGATAGGCAATATAGTTTTTTCAACAAAAAAATAATAGGCGTGAAATAAAATTTAAGGTATTTTTTTGGATTCAAAATTTGGATGTTTTGCAATTTTTTAAGCAAAAACTATTTTTAGTTAAATAAAATAAATTATTTTAAAGGAAACAAAATATTATTTTTTGTAACTTTTCTTTGCAACTTGCGTATTGTTTGTTGCACACATAGACATAAAATAAAATTTTAGTCATTCAAATCCATGCATTGATTGTTCCACTTTAAAAATGAGCATTGCCATAGCATTGCAGTATATTAATCCCTATGTTCACAGTTAAAATAAAAGCACGGTATACCACAGTCTATACTACTACGAGTACTACTCTAAACTACTATAAAGAAAATTGTTATTATTTTGAAATAAAAATGATCGTTGTATTCCATCTTTAGAATAATTCAGTTATTTAAATAATAAAGCCACTAAATCAGTCGGTTTCTCAAGGGTTACTTTTCACACTTGTTTATTATGGATTTTTCGAAGACTAGCAAAGAATATTATAGTTATCACAAGTAATAGAATTATCTTTGAGGCTAGTCAACCAGACGAAAAGTTGTGTTATTCCCTGCATTAGAAAAATAGATTGTAGATCGCTTTTATTTTGTTTCTCGCTGTAGTAAGCGCCACCGACCTCTTTCTGTTTTGGATTCTCCTCTTATTAAAATTAGCGGCCCACGGAACGCTTTCGTATTCTTATATAAAATCAGATACGTTTGATCTCTCGTGGCGCGCTTTTTGTAGTCAGATCGCGGCAGCCACGGCTCCAAACGGCAAGTGCAGAGAATTTTAACGTGCTTCTGAAGAACGAAAAGCTCCTCCAAGATGCGATTGCTCGTCATTCAGGCGGTTTTAATCATTGCCGGGATTTTTCTTATCTGTAAGTAGTTGAACGGATATTTTAAATAAAGTACCGTAAATAAATATAATAATATACAGTATGTCCCCGGATTGTCTTTATAAGAGGAAAAAAACTTTTTTATTATTGACATTTTGAGGAAAATGCATTCTTCATAAACATTTTTGCTTGTTCTAAAATGGTTAACCTAATGGTACTTCTTTAACATTTTAAAATAGAAGAAAATATGAAGTTAATTAAACTTCTATCAATAATAATCTATCAATGAATGAAAACGGAATTTTATTACCATAGAAACGCGTTTTAATTCTTTAGGATTTTAGAAAAAATTCAATTATGTTTTGATGCTTTTTTTAATTTCCTTTAAAACGGTATGGAAATTTCGTTATGGAAAGTATAAATGGGATTAACCATTTTAGAAGAAGCAGCAATGTTTATGAAGAATTCATTTTTTAAATGTCAATAATAAAAAAACTTTTCCTCTTGTAAAGACAATCCGTAGACATACTGTATATCCAGGTGTTCAAAAAAGATGTTCACTCCAAACGTTTTTACAAAATACACTGGGTGATTCAGATACATATAGTTATTACAGTTAAGGGTTGGAACCTTTTGGATGTTATAACAGCAAAATAAAATACTAATTCACCACAATACTCCAAAACACTTATTTTTAACATTGAAATAAGTTTCAGTGTTTTAGTGTTTGGGGTTAGGTTGTAGGTGTATTGTGGTGAATTAGTGTTTTATTTTACTGCATATATTTATTCAAAGCCTTTAAATTTTTAAGTGAATTGGTGTATATTTTTACTACTCATATAATAATATACAGTATGTCCCCGGATTGTCTTTATAAGAGGAAAAAAACTTTTTTATTATTGACATTTTGAGGAAAATGCATTCTTCATAAACATTTTTGCTTGTTCTAAAATGGTTAACCTAATGGTACTTCTTTAACATTTTAAAATAGAAGAAAATATGAAGTTAATTAAACTTCTATCAATAATAATCTATCAATGAATGAAAACGGAATTTTATTACCATAGAAACGCGTTTTAATTCTTTAGGATTTTAGAAAAAAATTCAATTATGTTTTGATGCTTTTTTTTTAATTTCCTTTAAAACGGTATGGAAATTTCGTTATGGAAAGTATAAATGGGATTAACCATTTTAGAAGAAGCAGCAATGTTTATGAAGAATTCATTTTTTTAAATGTCAATAATAAAAAAAACTTTTCCTCTTGTAAAGACAATCCGTAGACATACTGTATATCCAGGTGTTCAAAAAAGATGTTCACTCCAAACGTTTTTACAAAATACACTGGGTGATTCAGATACATATAGTTATTACAGTTAAGGGTTGGAACCTTTTGGATGTTATAACAGCAAAATAAAATACTAATTCACCACAATACTCCAAAACACTTATTTTTAACATTGAAATAAGTTTCAGTGTTTTAGTGTTTGGGGTTAGGTTGTAGGTGTATTGTGGTGAATTAGTGTTTTATTTTACTGCATATATTTATTCAAAGCCTTTAAATTTTTAAGTGAATTGGTGTATATTTTTACTACTCAGTAAATTTGCAATAATATACCAATTCAAAAATGGCCACAATTTTTAAAATAATTATTTTATTATTTTTCTACACATTTAGAGCATCCTCAAAATTAATCGTAAAATCGGACATGAATACTTTTTTACATAAAGTATTTTATAAAATCATCCATTTCAAAATCATTTAATTATACTAATATATTAAAATTTCTTGGAATGCACATGAAATTACATTATATAATATCGCTATTTCAAAGGGAACACCCTGTATTTTATATTATCATAAATCAACGGCTATGCCATAAATCGATATTTTTAGAGCAGCTTTCTTTTTTGAAAAATAATACGTAATTTGTTTTTTGTTTTTTTTACTAGAGGTGTTGTTCTTCTTAAATATGTCATACCTATCTGCAACAAAAATTGAGCATTAGTTGTATAGACACTCATTGGATATTTGCCTAGATATTGACACCATTTTATCGCAAATTAACCTAGATGTTTAGAGTTCTGCATAGATTTGCTATACTTTTATGTTTCTTGGTTAAGTTAGAAAAATATGTTTGGTTAATTTTACAAAATATCATTGGATTGTCAACCTTTCATAGCATCTTTCTGCTACTATGGAACACTTCTGATGGGTGAAATACCGTATGATCGAAAAAAAAACTGCGTCAAAGAGGTCAATTACTAAAAATTTACATAAAACTTAAAACTAATAATAAAAAATTAACACTAATAATAGAGAAATTAAAAAAGTATACAACGTTTCCAGATACACAAATCTATTTCCAAAAATGTATTCTTTCTCAAATTTTAAACTACACAATTTAAAAATTATTTTTATTCAATATAAAAATAAATTTTGGAGTTACGATTTTTAAAAATTTTTAACCCCCTCCCATACCCCCTTACCAACCCAACAACCCCACCAAAAACTAATGGCCAGATTCTCGGGTGCCATAGTATTTTTGTGCCAAATTTGGTTAAAATCGGTTTAGCGGTTTTTGAGTTATCGTGTTACAGACAGATGGACAGACAGACCGACACCATGAAAATATTTTGTATTTAGGTCATTTATGACCCAAATAACTCATTTGTTGAATTGTTTGTCATTGAGTGAAATTAAAAAAACTTTTTTTTGCCGATCTTAATAGCCTACCATACCTGTTGTATGGTTAAGTTAGGTTAGGCTAAAAATATATATATCCACAGAGACTTACATTACTCTTATAGAATTTTAAATTAACTAGTAATTTAACTCATTTTTTAGTCCATCTTAACTGGATGTTTGGATTTCTAGGAAGAAGAAGTAATTAAGATTAAGTAGTAATTAAGATTGGCAGTTTTATATACTAGGTGCGTCTCAAAAGTGGCTCACCCCTATAACTTTTATATTTTTTTAGATAGAAAAACGAGATTTGGTATGTTAGTATATGACATAAATTAGAATTGATTGCCGTTTTCAATTGGTTACTCCCTGTTTCACCATAAATGGCTACAACTTTTGATTTTTAAATAACACCCTCGATATTTTTTTTACTTCATTTGATAGAAAATGACACTCTGAATAGAATGACAAGATGCCCATAGCGTATTTTTAATCATATCTCATTTTTTTCAAATGAAACGAGGGTAGCTCATTCATTTTTTTACGAATAATTTGGTACCACGCACTTGGTATTTCTGTTGTAGTCAAACTGTAGCGTCGTTATGAACCCCATGTTACAATTTCAAATAAACCATATGTGAAAATGTCAAAAGTTGACATATGTCATTCTATTCAGAGTGTCATTTTCAATCAAATAAAGTAAAAAAATATGGAAGGTGCCATTTAAAAATCAAAAGCACTCAAAAGTTGTAGCTATTTCCGGTGAAACAGGAAGAGACCAAAAATAATTAAATATGTCAATCAATTCTAATTTATGTCATATACTATATAATATATTTCCAAAAATGTATTGTTTCAATACCAAATCTCGTTTTTCTATCGAAAAAAAATAACTAAGTTATAGGGGTGAGCCACTTTTGAGACGCACCCGGTATTGCAAATTGAGTTAAATATTCTATCATAATAACATACATAGGTATTATCCTAAATTAAACGTATTACTCTGTGCCATTATTATAAATATTATTTTAAATCAAACTTTTCAATTATGACAAAACATATTTTAAGACAAGTTTAAAACAATCCACATATCGAACTTTAAAAAGTAGATTCTCGTTTATAGAATGATTTAGGAAGATTCAAGTATTGATAAAACTAATTCCGTTTCTTTAAAAATTGGTTAAATATCTGTTGCAAATTAGTAGTAAAACAACAATTTCGTAAAATAAGAAAAACCCGGTCAATTTAGTTAAAAATAATATTTAAAAAAATGTCAATGCTATGTTGTTTAATAAATTCGAGATTTGTGGTTTTATTTTGTGCAAAGCTCGGTTAAACAGTTTTTGTGAAAATTAATTATTACTATAAGAAAATAGGTTTTAGTAGTATAATTTAGTCACCAGAATATTTATCCAAATTTTTCTTCAGAAAATTCAGACCACATACAGGGTCCCATTACATACTGAGCGTGCATTAGAATTTTCTAGAGAACTAGAATATCTAGATCGGAGACTTTTTGCACATCATAGTTTCACAACACAGAGTGTGTGAATATATTTTTCTCCACAGAGATCTATCGATTAAATATATTTTCAATATGGTGGTACTTCCGGAAATACCGGAAGTTGACAACAACTTTCTTATTTTAAATGGGATGCTCACATTTTTTATTACATACTTAAATTCTCTGTAAAATTCTATGAATATTGATGTTAAACATTCTATACATAACATTAACCGTTAAACCAAAACCAATAAAAACAAATATTTAAAATTTTTGGACGAAAAAAACTACCTGTGAAAAAAATGTGTATAGCCTAAAAGTCAAATTTAGTGATTACCTCAGCCACTGTGACATAAAGAGAAGACATGCGGCTATCCAATTCAAAAATTAAATTGTGCAAATGTCATAAAATAATGGCGGTAGCTGTCATGGAATTAAGCGATTAAAAAATTATCATAATTTTTTTTTTCAAATGGAAACCTACTTTTTTATTTCACTAATGAAAAGGTTTTTAAATTCGTTACTTTTTAACTAGACATGTTCCTATACCTAAAATACATTTTTTGTTGTAGTAAAAAGATGTTGTAGTTCTCTAAAAACAACTTGTATAGCTACCAGTTTTTTCTTACTTGTCAGCATCAGGTATTTCGTCTTTAGATAATAAAATCTATTTCCAATTAGCATGTAACTCAGATTTAAAAGGGAATAAAAGTAAAATTGAATAGTAAAAGTTGCATTAGTATTACGGGGTATATTAAAAGATAAATATTTTATACAGCTGCTTTTTTACAGTTTAGGGCATAGATAAAAGAAAATAATCTACTATTAAGATAGATATGAAACTTAATAGTAAAA